CAAACAACTTTACATTAATAGAGAAACAAACAACAGAAGCATTCCTACTACAGACAGGCAGGAGACAGAGATGTCCCTTATTACCACTGCTGTTAAATTTCATAACAGAAATAACGGCAAGTGCAGTTATAGGAGTTATAAACGTTGGAAAGAAGGAGGTGAAATGATCACTGTTGGTAGCTGATTTGGATTTTTGGATTGTTACTGAGAACTTAACACAAGCAATAGGGTCGATAAAGTAGTGGGGAGTGAAAAATATATAGAAATAACCTATATGTTAAATATACATATGTATGTATTCTATATTGTGACACGCACACAGGCACATATATTTGCACATGTATTTTTTTTCCAAAAAAGTGTATTTCCAAAATAGATTATGTGCTGTATTTCCAGAGAGTGAATGTATAACCTACCTAACTCATCTACATTTCCATTTTAAATTTGACTTTTAAGAGTCCTAAGAAGGTATACTAATAATACACAGAAAGATACAGTGGAAAATATATTTTAATGGCTCATCTGAGGCTTCATTTAGAATGTCTTATAACACAGACTTTTAACGCCAAAAAAGTAATCAGCCGGGTAGAATTTATAATGGAATCTAGAGTAAATTGAAGTGTTTTCAGTTAGATTGATCTTCTGTTTTCATGGCATTCATTGATTTTTAACATTTGTTTATTGTTTAAAGTGTTAAAATTTGCTTTAAAATAATCCTTTAATGCAGAGCATGAGCCTCTACTCCTCACCGGAGAAATATTTTTTGCAGAGGCAGTTGTTTGGAGAGATGGTTAACATTTGTCTGCCATAAGCTCTTTGCTCTTTGAGCAGAAGCAGTGGAGTCATGTGGGCATTAGAAGTCAGGGATCATTCATTTGAAGAGCTGTTTACAGACTGGCTATAGGGCCTGGTTAACGGTGTGTGTTTATTCGTGTTATGGAAGCTCCCTAGGTGATTCTTTGTTTTAGTAATACCTGTTGTTATGTTTGTGATTATTATGTATATTTTAAGACACACAAGTAAGTAACTGTTCTTTCATGCCTAGCTCAATAGGATGGAAAGAAATGTAGCTTCCCATATCCTTTGAATTCTAAGTTTATCAACCAAACTAGGAAATTAGAAGGGAGTTTGTTTCCTTTTTAATGTCCATGAGGAAAGAGAGCCATATTAGTTCCACACTGTGCATCCAGGAGTCTGTCTGCATGCTCTCACTTTTATCTTCTGCTGTAATTTAAACTCAACTCCTAAAGATTCAAGGAAAATACTATCAGTGCCTGTCTCTGAGCTCTGAATTTTCCAGTCCCTGGGCTTGGAATGTGGAGGAGATGAAAGAAAACAGACAAGAGGATATGCAAACATGAACTCAGACCTTTCCCAGAACGTCACCAGGAATTCCCCCAGCTCCTAAATTTTACTTTAAAATGTGCTTGATGCTTTAACTGAGTTTTGGGTTGTCTTAAGGGAGTGCGGAGTGTAGAAGCTATTACATGCAGGTAGAAAAGAGACTAAAATGCCTGCTTGGAAGAAAACTCTGATCCTTTGTCTCACCAGGATGATTGTATGTTTAATGTGCTTCTTAGAGTATTAGGGCACAAACTAGAGATTAAAGTTCCATTTATGAGACTGGCCCTAAATGTTCTTAAACTGGAAGGAATTTGTTACGACTGTCTAAGAAAGACTAAGTTGTTATTGAAATAGTATTGGTCTATCTTATATTAATGTTTCCTTCTCAATATCCCTTAAATTTATTCTGTCAAAATTTATATTTAGCCTGTTGATTTTCAGCCCGTTGTTAATTTCTTTACTCTTTACCAACACACACAAGTTTTTTCTTTTCTTTGTTTGAAGAAACTCTGGAAGGAATCAGAAACCAGTAAATATCTTGGTGGGTGGGGAGTGGTGCATATGATGATAGAAGTCGGTATTGCAGGGGTTGGAGGGACTGTTGACCATATACCTTTTAATATTACCAAAAAATTAAGCCACATGAATATATTACTAATATGAAATATTAAAATATGGGGGTCCATGATTATTGTTTTAAGTAAGAGTGTGCTTGTTGTAGACTAAGTTGAAAGTACAGGAAAACACAAAGAAAAATGATCACCAGCAGTCTCAGCCACCTAGCTGTATCATCTCTTACTGCTTTGTTATAGATTGCCTTAGTCTGAAAGAAAAGGCATTTTAAAAAATTAATTAATTAATTAATTAATTTTTGGCTGTGTTGGGTCTTCATTGCTGTGCGCGGGCTTTCTCTAGTTGCAAGCCGGGGGCTACTCTTTGGTGTGGTGTGATGGCTTCTCTTGTTGCGGAGCACGGGCTCCAGGCGCCTGGGCTCAGTAGTTGTAGCACGCAGGCTCAGTAGTTGTGGCGCATGGGCTTAGTTGCTCCATGGCATGTGGGATCTTCCTGGGCCAGGGCTTGAACCCGTGTCCCCTGCATTGTCAGGCGGATTCTTAACCACTGCGCCACCAGGGAAGCCCAAAAGACATGTTTATATATACAGTGGACCCATGACCAGTGTGGGGTTAGGGGTGCAGTTGAAAATCAGCGTATAACTTCTATAGTTGGCCTTCTGTATCTGAGGTTCTGCATCTGTGAATTCAACCAACTGAGGATTGTGTGGTGCTGTAGTGCGTGTTTTAGTGAAAAAAATCCACATATCAGTGGACCTGCAAAGTTCAGCCCCTTTGTTCAAGGATGAAAATGTACAAGTTTGTACATTTTGAAAAAACAATTTATAATATGTTGTAATTTGCCTTTAACAATTTTAATGGGATTTCCCTGGTGGCGCAGTGGTTAGGAATCCACCTGCCCGTGAAGGGGACACAGTTTCGAGGCCTGGTCCGGGAAGATCCCACATGCCACGGAGCAACTAAGCTGACGAGCCACAACTACTGAGCACGTGCGCCACAACTACCGAAGCCCGTGCACCTAGAGCCCATGCTCCACAACAAGAGAAGCCACCGCAATGAGAAGCCCTCGCACTGCAATGAAGAGTAGCCCCCGCTCACCACAACTACAGAAAGCCTGTGCGCAGCAACGAAGACCCAATGCAGCCAAAAAATTTAAAAAATAAGAAAGAGAACCCCCCAAAAACAAAAAAACAATTTTAACAGTATACTATAAATAATTTTCCAGATTCTTAAATACTTTTACTTTCATGATTTTTCATTGTTGCACAGTTGTATAATGTTGAAATACTTTATTTAACCAGTTCACTATTGCTGGATATACAGATTTCTTTCTTTTCCCTGATATAATTCCATGTGGGTTAAATCATCCATAATGGTTTCTAGATGCAGAACTGCTGAGTCAAAGGCACATAGTTATTTTGAAGGCATAGTCAGATTGCCTCTTGGAAGGTGTGTGCTCATTTCTGTTCATTATGGTGAATGAGAGTCTCCCTAACTGTGGCTGCATGAGATGCCTGGGTGACCAGCATTCACTTCCGAATTCACTGCAGTATAATAGATGAAGCCTGAAGATAGGGTAACTCCCAGATCCATGGTTGTGGGGAGAAAACAATCTAGGGCATATAAGCAAAATTTATCTCATACCCAGTGTGTGGTTGGCATTAGGCTGTAGTAGCTATTTTGCACAACTAAGTCTGGGGTTTTTGTATAGTAGATTCCTGGGCTTGGCCATGATGGGTGAACTTTTCACTGTCCTAGTTGAACTCTTTTCAGCTGATAGATTGAATTATGTTCTGCCTGGTGTCTGGCCAAACATTGTATTAATGGAAAGATGTGTAAAACTGAACAGTTGCCAGATTAAAATATGCTTAAAAGTAGATGTCCGACTGCATTTATTGAAAGATGAGAGATGGCTGACTAAGTAGCCTGCACACTTGGAATCCAGAGGAGATACTGCACTGTATTTAATTGCCTTTGGAAATGTTTACTGAGACCATCTTGTGTCCACACGCAGAGGTACTTTGCTGGCACACTGGTAGTTCTGTGAATTTCACTTTTGGATCTTGGCAGAGAATGGAGAGAAGAGGCTAGGCAAATAATTGGCAAGAAAAGCAAATGGTTACAAGTCTGTTAACAATGCAGCCTTGTTTACCCACACTTTGCCTGTCTGGGTTTCTGAGACTGGATTCCTTAGCTCTGTGAGCTGTAGCACAAGAGCACTCCTTTGGTTTAGGGTGCTTGGAATTGTAAGCATGCTGAAGAGAACACAGTCATGTGTATCCTAGTGCGATGAGTGCGTCCTGTCCCTGTTAGGACTTGGTGTAAAGAGATTAATAGTGAGAAGTGAGCTGGGAGTGGTTTATCAGTGCAGGTCTCTGGAATCAGTTCTTAGGTCTGTTTGTGTTTTGGGCATTTCAGAGTGAAGAGGTTACAGAAGTCAGAAAAGGCTGTTACTGTTGAAACCATAAGTCTGCTAATCACAATGTTACCTTTTTTTATTTGTAAGCAAAGGAGCAAAGACTGCTTATTTAATAGACAGGGCCTTAGTTATGAGAGAGATCTAATTTTATTGTGTAAGCTCTTTCAGAGACTACTACTCTGAGTAGTACCTATTTTGTAAAACATAAGTGACATTGTTATTTCACCTAATTTGTGGTTATGATCTGTTAATAAATCTCACATTTTTATTACAGGAATGAACCAAGTACTAGAATATGAGGATACTTTTCTTCTAATTTTATCAGTTTTGAAAGAGTCATCTTTTGGGGAACAGTGAGAAAAACTGAGGGCAAAATTTAGAATATCATCCTTGTTACTGAGAGAGCAGAGGAAATGGTTTAAGAAGTCATATACCTGGTTTTAGGGTTTTTTGTTGTTGTTGTACATATGTGTCATAAGCTTGCTGTGGATTCTGGCCAGATTAACACTCCCCTGCTCTCCAGTTTTCAGTCTCACATTTGTTTTTCTCTTGTGAAATATTTCCGTATCGTTATCAGCAAAAGCATGATGAAAATTAACTTTTCGTAATTAAAATGTTAAGTTCTCTCATCTGCTTAAGAGCTAACTTTTTGTTTTTGTTTTCAGCATTGGTTGGATGGTACAAAAAGCATCAAAAAGCAAGTAAAAAGTAAGTGTTGAAAAAATTGTGAAAAAATTGGAAATCGAATTATATATAATTGTATATTAGAAACTGATTTCTCGTAGTAGGGACATAAGAAATCATGTTTCTAATGAGTTTCTTAGCATCTCCACTTTCTAAAAATAATTTCAATCCAATATACTGACCCACCCCGTAAATTATATAGGGTTGATGGTAATCTAGATTCAAGTGCCTTACAGTTTGTTTCCAGGAGAAAGGCTTGCAGTTTGGAAATGAGATGTGAGTTCCCATGAGATGCTTAGCTTTTCTTTAGTAATTACTTATATTGGAATTTTTCTGTTTGGTGTCTGCCCTGCTCTAGAAAATATTTTGAGAATTTAAGGCTGTAACTTTTTTTTTTTTTTAACTAAGAATAATGAAAAGAAGTCATTCACATAAAATGTCAGTATTGTTCCTAGCGATAGTCAGGGGAAAATACCAGTGTCCAGTCCATAATCCATCATGTTTTCTGTAGTAACAGAGATTTTTAGGGCACCTCAACTCTTTTTACAAAGTAATGGGACTTCTGAGAATGTAGAGGTTGGTGAAGTGGATTGGAAAGGATGTGGGCTGATTTGCCACGCGCAGTTAATAACAGGCGTTCCTGCTTGCTCTCGAGAAACAGAGCTCGGCAGGTTTTTAGGGCTGTCAGAGTGCATAGTCAAGACTTTTTCATTCAGCGTATTTGGCCCTGAACTATTAGACTTAATCTGGAGCTGTCTGTTCCTGGGAGGGCAGATATGATGTGACACTGCTACATGATGGTTGGTACGTTTACAACATCTGTTGATTGTGTTAGGCTTCATTGAGCCCACAGTGGAACCTGAATTATTGCCACAATATTCTGTTATCTTCTGTCCACTTCAGTAGATTTTTGACAGATTTACTGACTGAAAATTCTTACTTATTTAAGTAACCATATTGAAAAAGTTACACTCCCTTTTTTTTCTTTTAATGGCAGTTGGTTCACCCTATTGTCTGCATCTTCGAGTTAAGTTTTATTCCTCAGAACCAAATAATCTTCGTGAAGAACGAACCCGGTAAGCCCAATGTCTGGAGCTGTGTGCAAGCGTAAAGTTTTGGTCAGGCTGGCTAAAGGTGTCGGGAGGTTGCCTTTACAGTTCCTTCCAGTGTACAGGCAGCTAGTGAAATGGATACTTTGCCCCTGGTAACAAGATACCAGACAAGATAATTTCATTTGGGGCAGTATTTTTTTAAGTGTAGAATGTTTTCATTTACTTACCAGTTTTCAAAACAAACAGTTGGTTCTCTAGCATCAAGCAAAGGTAACCAGTGAGTTCTGTTTTTAAGTATCGTTATCAACTCATGAATTTTAAGTAGGACTGATGTGCTTCAGTACATTATCATATTGTGTCTGTTGATGTTCAAAATGATCTATTTTCGGCCACTGAGAGTTGTTTCAAGTTGGCTCCTGACTTTCTTTATTGAAATGCCATTGATTATTGAAAAATGTTGAATCCTGATTTTGCTTGAATAGTTTTCAGTAACTTTAAGTAAGTTACAAACATTTATTTTTATTTTGTCTTGCCTCAGTATTTATTCATGGACTCTGTATTGCATATCTATGACCATGCACACATACTATTTTTATTAAGTAAAAAATTGAATTGCTGAGTCCCTTTAGAAGGCGTTCCTCTTGAACACTCTGCTAGTGGACAAGGTTAGAGCTCTTACCTATGCGTACATTGCCATATCGTTTTACGTATGAGGGGCTGTGTCGTCACAGTGAAGGTGAAGCAGACCACAGAGCTCATTCCCAGTAATTTGCTAAACCTTTTCTTTTGAGGGGCTACCCTGTACTCTGGCCCATCCTCCTGACACTGAGTGCCCCATGTTTCATATTCTTTTTTCCTTTACAGACTTTATTGTGGGTAAAGTTTTGTAATTAAGAATGTTTCTTCTCAGATTAGAAGAGCAGGATTATTTTTCATGGTAGATTGATCTGTTTAGTTAAATTTGTGCCTTTTATTTTTCTTAGGTACTTATTTGTTCTTCAATTAAAACAAGATATTCTCAGTGGAAAGTGAGTATTAGTTTAAGGTAAACCACATTTTCTTGAGTAGTTGAAAAATAAGTTCTTAGTTAATTATGAAAAAGAAATGGTCAAAGTGTGTCTTATTTCCATTTATCATAAAACAAAGGTCATGACATTGGCGTGTTTAACACATTTGTGTTCTGCTCTCAGATTGGAGTGTCCTTTTGATACAGCGGTT